TATATGCTAGATAATGAGAATAGCTTTTCGTAGTTTCACCTCTCGAGTTCACCATATCTTTGAAGTCGATAGCCGCTAAACTGCATATTTTTCTTGAAAGGTGACTTTCTGTTTTTTAAATGATTTACATCTATAGGCCATTACCTGAGTATTTTATGGGTGATACATGACTTAGTAAGTATTTCTTTTTTCTTTTTAAGTAAGAATTATAGTTTAGAGTAAGAATTATAGTTAATAGTTTACTACAATTGCTTAGTTGTCAACTTATTAGAAGATTTTCCCTGAATATCGCCAGTTGAGCAAACTGTCAGGAAGTTCATGATATCCGCTGCCTCAGTTCTGAATTATCCAAAAGTGCATGGAACTTTCAAAGATTTTCTCTGGCAAAATTCAGTTATAACAAAAAAAAGCTTCCATTGCTAATTTTATATCTGGGAATGGTCGACATGATGGTAATTTAAACGTCAGTGCAGTTTACCCACGTTGAGTTTGCTTTGGTTCATCAAACTTTTCGTTTTATGTCGTTCAGGGAATTTTTCGATTTCGATCCCATTAACCCAGCAACCATGTGTTTCGAAAGTATGAATGTATCACTAAAAATGGCTGTTCTGGGACGAGTTTAGTTCTCTTTTTTTTCGAAGTTTTTATGAGTTGCTGCCTACATTATTTTATTAATGTGCTTTAAAACTGCGGCCCATTTCATTCCAGAGACAGGATGCATATTCCATTAGGAATATTTAAACCCTTCTTAAAGCATAAATGACCGCCTGTTTTTCTGAAATCATTTGGATCGCATTCTTAGATCGTGCTGAATAACCAGTGATAAGAACTCAACACTAATCCGAAACCGTCAATTCTAGGAATAGCCTCAAACTTCTGAAAAACACACTGTTTGTTGTGGAGGGGAATTGAGGCGGGCCTCCTGTGCACCACCATCTCAGCTTTTTTTTCTGCTGCAAAAAAAATTAATAGCGCTAAATGACTCTCAATTTATTTTATGTCCTATGGACGAGTAATCAGCCTCATTCTGCCCAACTTACGTATGTGCACCAGTCTCGGGCAGGTTTTCTCCGAGCTTAAATGAGGAAGAAGGGGTTTTTAATAATTTGCTAGATACCTCTATACCTCAGTTCCCCCATTTCATTCAATCGAATCATATCGTGCCACTCTTTCTTCCTTCCATGTCTCTGTTTTTCCCAAAAGGCAAATGTGTTGTTCGTACAACCACGTCTTGTGCTTTTATCGAATGTGTTCAGAAAGACAGCTGAGACTGCCTAAGTTGCTAAGGCAGGATGCGTAACGGTGTCGGTAAGCGACGAAATGGTCCGGCAGTGTACGAAAGTGAAGATAACGAGCTGCTTCCTTCCACAGCTGCTGCAGCTCCTGCCGCTCCTGCCGCTGCAACTGCTACAGCTCCTTCCACAGCCGCTGCAGCTCCTGCCGTTACTGCCACTGCAACTACTACAACTAATGCCACCCCAGCTTGTCCCACTAAACATGGATCACGGTTCACTCTTAATGTTGAACCCCACCTCCACACAGAACCAAGCGATTCGCCTTTATCAAGAAATAGTAGTAATCGTATGTTTTAGAAGCTCAAACAGATGTTTATCACTTTTTCAATCAGTATACAGAAATCTTATATTCATTAATACCTCCCTCTTATTTGTTATATCAGTCTGAAGTTGGGATATACTGTTTCAGGAGAATTGTTCTCATGGGGAGGCAAGGATGCTGGAAACCACAATCTGGCTCTTTTCGAAGAGCCTTCTATGCCGTTCTTCTCCAGTTATCTCAAAGCTCACACCACTCCCGGACCATTAGAGCGAATGCAGAGTGAGAATCAAAAGAAAAAGGTGACACACAACTTCATTCGGTACACGTTCTAGGAAATGTGCCGTCTTTAGTGCTCCTATACTTTTGAACAAATTTCGAAATTTTCTTATACTGGTGGATCTTTCAGGCAGATCTCGGGACAATGCTTGGGGTGTACCTACCAACAATCCAACACATATTAGGTGTTACAATGTTCATTCGGCTGTTCTGGGTGGTTGGTATCGCCGGGCTAGGACAAACCTTCCTGCTTCTCCTTTTATGCTGTCTTTGTGTAAGTGTGCTAAGATTTTGAATGTTTGCAAAATCTTCTGGATGGAAGAACCTTCTAGAAATATACCGTTCCTATCTTCTAATGTCGATGTTTTCTGCAGACCTTTCTCACATGTATCTCCATATCAGCCGTTGCAACAAACGGCGTCGTTGAAAGTGGAGGAGCATATTTCATGATATCGCGAAATCTTGGACCTGAATTTGGTTCAGCTGTTGGCTTGCTCTTCTATCTCGCAAACACTGTGGCCACATCAATGTATCTCGTTGGTGGTGTGGAGATACTTCTTGTGAGCACTTATTTGCCGCGATGATTTTTTCGGAGTCAGTCTGGAGAATTTCTGCGAAATAATCTTTTTGATTTAGCTGTACATATTTCCTGGTCTGACAATTGGTGGATCAGAAGTTCATTCGCAAACAGGTGACCGACAAAATCCAACCGTTGCTTCGAATTTCCGATGTTAACTCTTGAGATATTCAGGCACATTCGGTATGATGACTAACAACCTTCGATTTTACTCTACTCTTCTCCTTTTGCTCGAGTTCCTCATTGTGGCTATGGGTGTCAAGTTTGTTCAAATGCTAGCACCGGTTCGTTCACTCTCTTGATAGTAAAACTTTCTGCTCGATACAATGTGATGTTTTGAAGGTTTCGCTCGTTTGTGTTATTCTTTCGATTCTGGCTTGCTACGCAGGAGGTATTGAGAAAACTTTGAATCCCGACGCTGGTCAAAGGTGAGGGTGTACGTAGGAATCTGTCAGTAACTATCAGCCATACAAGGTTCACGTGTAGAATGAAAGTTCTGTTGAGAGCCAATTACATTATCGTGGAAAACATCTTCCTTCCCTTTTTTTGAACATATACCTGGCCGCAAACTCTTCATTTTCAATGTAGTCGTGAATCATCAAGCAAGTTAGGCGACCCAAATAGCTCTGCTTACATGCACGTATCTTGTCATATTGGTCAAACAACAATACCATCTTATACTCCTCTTGAGACATGCAAAGCTGTTTCTAATACTCTATAGTTTCGCCCTGTTTTGTGCAGGCAATTCATTTTGAGTTCCAACTTGTCGGTATGCTATGAAAAAGTTACCTTTTGTTGGTGCCTAAAAAAGCAAGGCTACTTAATCGTCCTACAACGGAATTGAAGTTAATAAGAGCACGATTGGGTTACCCATGGAACTTACATTTTAGTTAAATTCTAAGATAGTATGTTGCCATTGTCGAGGTGATTTCTCTTCAGAATGATGCTTTTTTTAAGAGTGTGCATGTATGGCGACCATCTTCTGCAGTCAAAATTCTTCATTCCTAAAGATAATGGATCAATATACGACATGTGTGATTACTGCACACCCAAGTACGTGTGTATTATTGTTTTTTTAGGATTATTCTGTACCTGCCGTTGCTTTGTAGTTGTTGGATTATTGAGGGTTTACGCCTCAATTCAGTCGTTTTTATTTCTTGCTCATCGATACAATCATCCTCTTCCTACGTGCTTTTATTTTCCAGCAACACATTTTTGATGGATAATCTTTGCCCTCTTGGAAAGTGCCCAGCTGATGTTCTCGCAACACCATTATCATGCATTAATGGTTTCCCTGGCTTCAAGAGCAACGCTTTCTCAGGTCAAAATACAGACGCTTTGCGATATTCCAAGATTTCTTTCACATTACCTTGTTGCTTCGTACTTCTTACGTTTTCAGATAATTTTGGATCGCAGTACATCGACCAGTTCCACACAACCGTTGATGATAAGGCCGACCTCAATCGTGATGTATTCCAGGTAGGTTCTTTTCTTTTCCTTCATTGTGGCCTGCACCCCACCTTCATTTGCTCACTTTAGGACGTGAAAACATCATTTTGGGTACTTCTTGCTATCTATTTCCCAGCTGTTACTGGAATCTTCACTGGCGCCAACATGAGCGGTTGGTTTCACATTCTTGATTCTTGAAACAACCTGTTGCTCTTCTGGAATCCTCTGGAAAAGATTTCTCTAGAAAAATCGCGATTTTTTCGAGTTTGCAAAAGCGCAGAGATTAAAACATATTAAGCCAGTTCATTAGAAGACAGTTAATTGTGAGCAACTGATCATTCGTGTTTTCTTGGATTTGTGGTTTTGCTAACAGAATCTGAATTAGTCGTTTCGCATCTTGCGTTTTTGGGGAAACGAAGTTCGCCAAAGCTCTGTAACGAAACGGTTAGCATTGCTTCAGTTTCCTTTCCGTTGTGTTAAGCATTATTCCTTTGTCAGTCAACAATAGAATTGTTCCTACATCCATTTCTTGTATTCAGGAGATTTGAAGAACCCTCAACAATCGATTCCTAAAGGTACAATCGCCGCTACTCTGACAACTTCTTTCATATACTTCTCGTTGGCTTTTGTCTTTGGAGCTACAATAGATGGCAGTGTACTGAGGGACAAGTGAGATTGCCTGAACTTTTGATTGGTACTCTTCAAATCATGGAAGTATAGAAATCGCAGAAATCTGAGCATTCAGAAATGGCCAGTCTATGGGCGGCACCATGGTCGTGGCTTCTCTATCTTGGCCCAGCGCTTGGGTTCTTTTAATTGGTTCCTTCCTATCCACATTCGGAGCTGCTCTACAGTGTCTTTGTTCTGCTCCTCGTCTTCTCCAAAGTATCGCTAAAGATGACGTTATTCCTATTCTGCGGCCCTTCAAGAAGGTCACAAAGAACAATGAGCCTTTCTTGGGGTTGGTGAATGTTTCTGTTTCTTTTTTTTCGCGTAGTATGCTCACATCTATTGTTTTCAGCCTTATTGTCACTACAGTAATAGCAGAACTGGCTATTCTTATGGGTGCTATGGATAGCATAGCTGCCGTTGTGGACTTCTTCTTTTTGATGTGTTACGCTTTCGTGAACATCATTTGTACACTTCATTCTCTTCTGGGTGCACCAAATTGGCGTCCAAGATTCAAATATTATCACTGGTGAGATAACTTTAATCATATTCAGTTTGATCCCATTTGTTTCTCAACACTCGCCTCAAGTTTATTTGAGATTGAGATTTATTTCTTTAATACATTTCATATTCATTAAGGTTTTTGTCATTTCTTGGCGCCAGTCTTTGTTTCTTCATCATGTTCTCAACTCACTGGGACTATGCACTCGTATCTATATTCTTATGCGTCTTAATTTATAAATATGTTGAGTGGAAGGGGTAGGTATCTGTTTCGGCTCTATTGACTTATTTTTACCCCATTGATTTTCATTGCAGTGCGAAAAAAGAGTGGGGTGATGGAATTCGTGGTCTAGCACTTACAACCGCTCAATACTCTTTGATGAAGATTGAAGACAAAGATCCACATCCTAAAAATTGGCGGTCAGTTTTATTCAGAACTTTATCGGTCAGCTCCCCTCTAAACTGCAAATGTTTAGCCCTCAACTTCTCTTACTTTTCTCAATGCCTTGGGCTAAGGAATTGGTTGATGTGCGATATCTCAACCTTCTCAACTTAGCGTCTCAGCTCAAAGCTGGAAAGGGGCTGACCGTCGTTACTTCCTTCTTGAGAGGAAGCCTCAATAGTCCAGATGACAGAAAGCGAGCAGAACAGGTGAGCCGAGTTATTGTCTTCAAAGACTTAGGTCCTTTTCACGCTTTCATTGCATGTTTTATGAGAAGTTCTCCATTCAGATTAAGTCTCGAATGGACTTTGACATGAACCAGGTCCGGCTGCGCGGTTTTGCTAAAACACTTGTTCACGAAGAGAACCAGGTAAGGTAAAGTTTCGCCCTCTAGGTGTTTTTTGTTTCGCGAAAGTATATTTACAGATTACTGGCTCTTTGTCCACGCTGATCCAGTCGGTAGGCTTGGGTGGTCTCAAGCCGAATACCGTGTTGGTTTCATGGCCAGTACATGAGCGTGGATCTTCAGAAAGTAGTGACTCCGAGTACAACACTTTCACAGGTGCGTTTATTCCTGTAGTTATACTCTACTCGTAGTATATTATTATATTAAGGGTCGCTTTTACCTTCTCAATTTTCGTCCTCTTGAATCAGAATTCATGTAGTTAGAGCTGTCAATTGGTTTCTTACTTTAAGCAGTAAGCCTTGGCCATCTATGGCTATTACTTCCTGGCAGGTGTCATCGCGTAGTCAGCATCGCTGATCACGGCAGTATCGCAAATTCATTTTCACAGTTATTTTTTCGCTCCTCGTTACGTTTGCAGGGTTACGCTTATAGTTAGATAGCTGGAGGTTAAGAAAAATTAAGGTCAAGCTTTAATCAGAAAAGTAACAGCTCTAAATTTCAGATAAGCTCCATGCTGCATGTGCTATGGACATGTGCTTGATAGTAGCTAAGGGGATCATCGACTTCCCCTCGAATGCATTCAAGTTGACTGGTTTCATAGACGTGTACTGGATTGTCCAAGACGGAGGACTTTGTCTGCTTATTGCATACCTTCTCAAGCAACATAAGGTTCTCTTTGCTCTTTATGTGAATATGTACTCAAAATGCCGAATAGAGCAAAATTGCTGCGGCTCTATATGCGTCAAACTTCTTCAAACCAACTCCTTTTCTGGGAAATGGTCCTTTGTTAAGTTGCAATGCAAACAACTTACGGGTTGGCTTGGCTGTGAGCAAAATCTGGAAGTTAAGTAAAGTTCTGACACCACTCACTTAATCCTTTATATCCTCAGCATCTGGCTGCTTTCATAGTCCGCCGGCCGGCCGGCGTGCCAGCCGAGGTAGTGTTAGGGAGGGGGAGGGAGGGACGGGCATATGCAAATTGTTTTGATCTAGTTTTTCTTTGTTTTTAGCGCTTTGAAGGGGCTTGGGCGCGACGCGACGGCGTCGAGCGGTCCCGTCAAAACGATTTGTATTTGCCCGTCTGCCTCCCTCCCCCTCCCTAGCACTACCTCGCCTGGCACGTCGGCCCGCCTGTTCGCTCGCCGGCCGGCCGGCGGACTATGAAAGCAGCCTCTGATGACGTTTTTGCTTACTGATCGCTCATACTTATGAGCTGATCAGCCGGTTAGCCGATATCTGAAACTTTCTTCCAAGAGTATTCTCCGTTTTTTTTTTTTGATCCGTTATGTATTGTTTGAATATCCTGCAGCTGATACACTTTACTATAAAATGGTTCAACTTTCTGGCCGTAAATGGTAGGCAAACTCGTGAAACTGCGTGGGCGCATATTGCTCTTAACATAATGCACTAAAGCGCGGTTAAACGACTCGAGGGAAACGCCACATATGCTTTCAACCTGATATCGTCCCATCTCGCAGCGAAATAATCTGCAACCCCCTGTCTTCATCAGGCACGAGTGGCCCATCAGTTTTTTTGCCGTAGCTGTAGAGGTTGTCTAGACCCGGCTTGAAGAATAGAGCTCGTTCTCGGGTACCGATACTTAGACGCTTTTAAAATGCGATTTTGAATCCTTAGGTGAGGTTGAATGTTTCTACCGGTATGACGCATTCAGGGCCATTGTCGGATGTCTCACAAGCTAAGAAAACAATAGCGTTTTTAAGATGGATAATAATCGTCAATTGTGTGTAATATTATCTAGTTTTAACTGATGAACCGATTATTTTCAAGGTTGTAATTTGATTTCCCCTTCAGGTTTGGCGAGGATGCAAGTTACGGATAATTGCTATTGCTCAAGAGAACGACAACAATCTCAAGATGCAGACCGAGTTGCAGCAGTACGTCTATCAGCTGAGAATCGATGCCAAAATACTGGTATGTGTTCTGTTGATCAGTTCTGTGAGGTCGGTACCGCAGAGCCGAGCAGAGAAAGTGCCAGTCTCTCCTATTGTACATCTATGACTATTATATTGACCTGGGTAATTCTTCTCGTTTCATTCTCACAATTCTTTTGTAGATTGAGTTTCTGAGACGAACCGTGTGTTGTTCCCGAACGAACAACCCATAAGTGTCATTTTCTAGATCGTTGAACTCGCTGATCCGGAAATATCGAAGAACGCTTTCGAACGCACTCTTCTAATGGAAGAACGTACAATGGTACTCAAACAAATGCAGGAGGCCAGAAGTGGAGGAAATGCTTTGCGCGAAATCTCGGTAGTTACTGTGAAGTTACGCTGTCACAGAGTTAATCTGCAGCCTTTCCAGCCACTTGTTACTGCGGAGCGGAAGACGGGTGTGTCAGCGAAAAAATCGGCCGAAAGCACGGAAGACACGAATTGCGCCACAGGAAACGATATTCACAAAGGTAGTTACAAAAGTATAAGCACACCACATAACATGCTATGGCAGGCTCGTCCTCTGGTCATAAAGTTTCGAAGGAGTGATTTATCAACCTTTTTTAACATTTAAAATGTTCCTGCTACTCCTGAATTGCCTAGGTTTCATGCAACGATGGAGTTTCCAAAATGTTAGTATGACAGAAGCAGATGTGGATTTGCAAAATGGTCTTAAAGAAGTCATGATAGAGATTCGAGATAGAACTTTCAATTTCACCTAGGTCATCAAACTTCTTGAGAACTTCGGTTAGGTCTTATTGAGGTGTCTCGGAAGTTCCCACAGATTTTATGTTCCCTTCTTGTATTCTCGTAATTTAGTCATGTGGGACAGTTAGGGCTATCTTTTTCTCAGCGACAACTGACCGAATCACACTGCTTTCAGCTGATTTTACTAAAGTGGAAATGGGAAGGAACATTCATATAGCTAAAAGCTTTGTGAGCTATGGCACGGTTCGAAAGCTGCGTGCGAAGCAGGTGCGACTCTGAAGTCAAACATTGATTCGAGAGATTTCAGAAGAGGTCGCGCGATACAATAGACACCTTCGTCCCTCTTCAACTACCCGGACTGGTCGAACAATACTTTCACCGAGGAAAAACACATTTTTCGTTAGCTACCGCGGAGGAGCACCAGAAAGGGCAAAACCAGCTGTCAAGAGATCTTGACCTGTGTTCAGTTGGTTAGGGATTGCTCAGGGATTTGTATTAAACCTTTACCTCACAACGCAATCACCTGCTATGCTGCGGCCAACCGTAAAAATCGAAGGAGCAAATTCAACGAATTTTCTCTACATAGTGTGCTTTCCCCCGACAACGTAGATGCCCATTGTGCACTTTTCTCAGTCCCTCTAGGCTATCATCTGTTCTGTCGCTTAGCAGCCATCTAGAAAAGAAGATGTGCAATGCTGGAAGGATTGGGGCTTTTTACAACGAATGCATCGAGTCTTCGCCTGGCAGCTGTAAGTAATTTCTAATAGAGATGCATATTACATTGTCGATGAATGATATGACCTTTTATTTAGAAAAATGGAATTCAGAAAATTTTCGCATTGTGCAGGAACTTTCGGGACAGCCTAATAGTAGCATTAACAACATGTCTCAAAGCTCCACTACAGGCTATTACTAATAGATTAAAATTTTGGCATGGAACAACCATATAAGGATGCGTCCACGCATACAATTTCCTCTTATAATGGGAATCCTAGGGTCGCTCAGGATGCGTATCAAACCCATAGTGCATATGAGCCACAATGCATAAAACATTTTTTCGGAGTAAAACCGACTCACAAAAAATCTCGAAATAATGTCGAAAAGGATATTCTCGTGATAATCGGCTTTATTGTTTCACTGTTCTGCTTTCTTGTAAACGTCACATAATTCTCTACAAAGCCTTTTTTTNTTTTTTTGATAATCGTGTGAGATTTTGTAAATTTTTAAACATTCTTTGAGATGCTTGTGTGCACTTCTTTTCCTTGGAAGCTCATAGTATACCTGCTAACCCAATTATCTGCTGAATTCTTTTCTCATTTTTGAACGGCAAAATCAGAAAATAAGCGCACATAACCATCGGATTGAATGTAGTCAAAAAATGAGCGCACAAAACCTTCGGATCGAGGGTTTTTTTATCACACTTTTCCAGCAGAGAATTATTCGGACTGAACACGAGAAATGAGAAAGTGACGGTATTGACCGGTTGAGTTTCATTTAATCAAAAGAAAACGAACTTTAAGCACTCAATCGCGCCTCGGTTTTGTTTCCTTGACGCTATTAAGTAGCACAGAAAGATACAGCGACATTTCGAATTGGCTGCCCTCTGGTCAAGCATAGGTCGCTATCTGATTGTAGTCAGCGGGTCCATTTAGAGTATCACTGACGACAATCAGACATGGGGCCTTATTATGCACGTATGCAAACAGAAAGTCGCTAGAATAGTTGATGTATGACCAAATTCTTTTCAGAAAAAGCTCATGAGGAAGAGTCTGTAACTGATGAGCAGAAGAAGGAAAAAACAATGAAAGAAAAATTGCTAGCATTGGACCGAACAAAGGTGAACATTTGCTCTTTGCAAATGTTTCAACTTGAATTTTTCAATGTCTCAATCAATTTGTATGCTTGAAACTCTATTTTCCATCCCNCCCACTCTCGTCATCTACTTCATCTTTCAGGTACACAAAATGCACACTGCTGTCCGCCTGAACGAGCTTATTATCGAGCATTCTCTCAATAGTCAGCTTGTCCTCTTGAATTTGCCCAAGCCGCCACGTGGAAGAGAAGGTATGTCTGTATCATTTCAGATAATCTTTGACTTTCTACAGTACAGTAGTAATCCGGCGAATAAGGATCACTTGCACCCGTGGACACCAGCCCGTAGTCACGATCCAGCAGTGATACAATAACTCTATGCTCGTACACCATTTATCCTTACAATCTTTCAAGAGAAGAATCCCAAGTCGAAGTAGCCATTTGAAGTCAAACTTGTATTGCTAGACGCATTTCCGGGTGTTTATTTCGAATTTGCGTTCCAAATTTGCCAAATAGACCTTTGTTCTGTTAGAGATATGATTTTTGCATTTCGCCAGCTCTTTCCCGGGGAACGGCATAACTTTTGTATGTTGATTCTACCGTCTTCAGCGGCATTTCTGATGCCTGAATTTACTCGATTCCTGCCTGAACCGTGCAATATTGCTACTAACTTATTGCTTACCTCGAACTTCGAAGGAAATGCACACACTGCAATTCTTAGCCTCAGCAGGCTCGATGCGGTTAATCCCTGCGTTTCACAGTTATGCCTTGCCTTTTTGCCAGTGGCCACTTACGGTTAGCTCAGAAGCTGTTCGCGGCAATCCTGGCTTTATGCAGAAGTGTTCTGCAGCACTCTAAGTTTCTGAACCTACCTTCGATAAGAAACCACTGACGAGTTTCGAGGCAGAAGTTCCATGCATGGATTATTTGGGCCCGAGCGAGTAAAATGCAAATTGTGAGTAAGCAGTTCAAGTTAAGGTAGCAGCCAACGACATAAATGTTACTAGTGTGGACTATTGGACATTTTTAAGGAATATGTAGCTGATAAGTCTGCATTTTCTTCACAACTGCAACGAAAGTCGGTGAAAGTTCCATCGCGTACCAAGAGCCTAATGTAGCCTTTTTTCTTCTTGTCGTTTAGTAATACAGCAGACGTATCGCCCTGCTAACGCGGAGCTCCCCTCCTTTCAATGTTGGATCTGGTGTGCTGCCTGCATTGTTTCCAAAATTGAATGCTCTGGTCCGAGATAACGGAAAATATGAATTTCTTCCCAAATACACATAACTGATACAGTTCGTGAGCGCCTCGCCCTCCAGAGTGGATTAAACCGCGTACAAACCACACTATAATGCAGTAGAGGTAGAGACTGCACGTCCCTCTCGTGCCGCCGCTACTTCTGCCAAGTTTTAATGTTTTAGGTATAAGGGAATGATTTTCGCTTATGCCTCGTCCACAGGTGCGAAGTCTAGTGCTGTCATATATCATCGGTATTCCCATCGTGCCGCCTGTACTCTTACCAAACTCTAGGTGCAAGAGAACAGGTGTCATGGGTTCTAGTGGAGAATACACACACTGACACACATCGACACAAACATACGCACATAAACACAAAAACAAGCACATCACAAATTATAGGCACATAGACCAATTCCTTCATCTGGCCTTCAGACCTTCTGTTAAACCAAGCTATGAATCCATAAAAGGAGTACTGCCCACTTTCTAGACGCCTTCCGCACCGTAAATAAGTCTCCTCGTCTGATTTGTTGACCCATTCCTGACCTCTACTCAGTTTTCCCGTTCCTTTGGGCTCTTGTGAAGCTCAAATGAGTATTTTCGGCACTGCTTATGCATGGGCGAGGGATCTGATGAGCTCATATAAGTTCTGTCAATTTTGCCCTACTCCCAACCCATCTCTAAGTTGAATTCACGTTCTTCTACAGGTAGTACCGATCTTCGCAAAAGGCAACCAGACATACAATCAGACAGGCAGACAAACAAACAAACAAACAAACAAACAATTAAACAGACAGACACACCAAACTTGTGGTTTATTCATGGTAAGGATTCGAAAAGGTCATCACATACGTGGTAGCTTGTAATCGCAGTTTTGCGAGCACACTCGCGACTCTACTCTCCGCTCACTATCACTTGTCTTCTTCCAATTCATAGCTCCTTAATTTAGGAGATTTCTTTGTTGCTAGGCGCGTATACAGGTAATTCGGAAACGCCAAAAAGTCCTGTTCGTTAGGTCTAGTAAGTGAAGAAAAGGCCTACTGAGAAAATTTTTCTGTTTCAAATATTTTGTGCTGGGTTATCAGATCTGCTTATGAGGTTATGAATGTTATCGTACTGGGAATGTAGTCTATGAGAAGAGCAAAGGAAGTTAGGCAATATTGGACGATCCTACTGTATATAACGCGCTAAGTGGGCCTGTTGGTTTTTCTATGTGTGGTGTGTGTTTGTGTTTATGTTTGTAAGTGTATGTGTGTGTATGTTTAACCGGAAACCCATGCTCCGGTTCCCGTAGACTTAGAAAGCTCAAATTCAGTAGGAGTGCAGGGGCAGGACGAAAACGCTTATGGCGGATGGCAGCGCCCGACCCGCCCACAAGGGGCGGAATTTGTGCGAAATAAATGTATGAACGAAAACCCATAACTTCAGTTCCTGTGAACTTAGACAGTTCAAATTTGGTAGGAGTTCAAGCGGCTAGATGAAAGCTGTGATTTTAGGTGGCAGGACTACACTCCTCCCGCAAGGGGCGGGGCGCACACAAAAATTCCAAATTGCACCTAGGGCGCTAAAGTTTGATAGGGTTACAGGATGGAAGATGGAAAGACTGATGATAGGTGGCAGGACTAGACTCCGCCCACGAGGGGTGTGGCGTGAGCGAAAGTATTTAGTTAAGCCCAGTTAAACCTTCAATGGGCCGTTTTTTCAGTATGAACTTTAGCAGACCAAGACTTCTAATTATGGGCATAAGCATCGGCATATACTGAACACCACTTGAATGCCCTGTCAAACCTCTCACAAAATTCGTATTGCGAAAGTATCATTTGTTCCAACGGAAGAGCGGTCGTTTGCCGATCATTACAATTCTATCATGAAAAGGAGGGAAGCCCTGCGTTAGTCAGGCGACCCGAGTGGTTTTGATATGAGCTAAATCAGCTCAAGCATCAGCAAGACGCTAAAGGCGGAGGCGCTGAAATCAACAAACAACGATTCGAGGAAAAAGCACCGCGAAACGCAAAAGCTTCATCCCTCCCAATTCCCACTTAATGGTCTAATGCATATGAGGCGTCACCTTGCCACTGCTTCGAATCACCGGTGGGAGTGCAGTCACACCCTTGTCTTATGTATTTGTTTATGTTGCGCACTTACCTGAATTCTCTTCCATAACTTCATTCAGAATGTTGTTTGGGAATTATGGGAAGTAAATTCGAAATAAGCACCTGGAAATACATACAGCGGTGTAGGTCTTACAGAAAAGTCCATTTCGCCCTAGGATCCTTCCCAGAAAAAGATTTTCCCGTACATGCGATCATAGGGTCGGAAGCAGCGGGGGGCTCTGAAGGGAGATGACAGAGAAGCCGGATTGGATGAGCGAGTCTATCGAATTGTAGCGTCATTCTTAACTTGAAGACATGAGCTACATCATTTGCGGCTTTTATACATGTCCCATCTCCAGCTCCGTTTATCACCTGAAAACGAGAGCCATAGGAAGAAACTATTAAAACGGTAGCCCTCAAATACCTTTCACTTCTGCTGCAGGGATTCTACACCACCCTTGCAGCATAGATTGCGATTTGTCTCATTTTGGGGATTCTAGGCGGACTCTGTCTCTGCGGAACTCATGTGAGAGTTCAAAGTGGTCGCTAGTTCTCCTTCACCTTTTTCAAGCATATGTATGGTGAACTACTAAGACTTCAGTTTCAAAATATTTTCCGCATTTTCAGGACTCGACGACTACATTCATTACCTGGAAGTTTTATCAGACAAGATCAACCGAGTTATCTTTGTACGGGGTACCGGAAAAGAAGTTATAACAACTCACTCGTAGTCCGCTTTTAGCGGGACAACTACTAGTCTTCGCTTTGAGAACTTCTCGGCGTTTTTCTCGAGCCTCAACCCGAATCGTTTTGTTTCTAAAGATGTCGACCTCTCACGCAATGTTTGTGATTCCTCTATCGTGGTGTGAATCTGTGATCTATTATTATTGTCCTGTTGTCATGCTCTGTAACTGTATATCTTTCTTAGTTTTCATTAGTCGCCCTTCCGGCAATGGAGTCCTACGGTGAATCAAGTTTCTACTTGAGTCCGCATAATATGCTACGTCTATGCTAGCAAGTGCCTTTGTTCATTAAAATTTGTAGTTTTAGCCAGTTGTAACATTTTTGAGGAGCTTTTCAGGAAAACTGGCCGGTCTTACCACTCCGTGTCTATTTACTGTGCCTCATTGGCGAGCGTGGTCTGGTACTCCCGTTGTAAGAGTTATGCATTTTTCAAGACTGACTAAGCGCATGAACGGCCTATTGCGTCAGACTGCAATGTGTTCATGACGTTATTCATCTTCGGCGAGAGTACGGCCCGCTTCACAATCGAATTCAGTTTCGCTTATCGCTGTTATATATAATATATACACTGTAAATCAAGAAATAAATAAATGTTTGGTTTGTGAGTACTGGTTTATGGTAGTTAAATCAAGTATATCATGTTCTATACCGCGATCTTAGTACTACTTCACTGAGCTGTGTATGGAAGGTTTCTATGCCTCAGGTCTCTTGAGCGGAAGCGATCCAGTGGAATTCTTTGGCTCACGGCAAAGACGCTCGAGTAAATTGATGGTCAACGGGGCGGCAGATGATGGATTCTCATATATCGTATTTTGTACAAGGAAGAACTGATTTACTTTTATATTTAGCATCGAAACAGAAGAATTGAAATTTTACTTATGTACATATGAATGAATTCCACGCAGTCCAGATGCATACCGAAGTTTCTGCCGACGATGCATTGCCATGTGTCACCTGAACCATTTGGTGAATATAATGAATTGGTGATCGTAGTAAATCCAAGGTAGATAGAACACGTGACTATAGTTCGCATACACCTAAAAGCACTGCCTACCCAGGGATGGGGAGTGGTCATAAGCATCCGTTCTTTCAGTCTATAAGACTCAAATACAAGTCTATTAATAGAGGAAAAAGTACTTTGGCTAATTTTCTCATGTTCTCCTCACATGTTCACATCCACAAACCAAAAGAGATGAAAAATTCACTGTTTGTATTGAGTGAGTATGGACTTTACTGCATTCTATGGTATCGAGGGCATAACGCTTCTCCTTAAAGAGATAGTCCCTCCTCTCTTAGAGGCACATTTCACTATAATTTTGGTTAATCCGGATTATGACGAGAAATGCAAGATAAGGTGAATAATAGTGCCATGAAAGCGAGGAAAGTGCGCTTTGAAATAATCGTTGAAAAATGGGCTGGAGGAGAATGAGACCAGAAAAATGAAGAAGGGGTGTTTGAACGAGCTGTGCAATGTGAGTCGTTGCGTACAAGTGGGTCCTGATGCGAACAGCTGCCTACAGTAAGCAAAAATGTACCTTGAAGTTCATTCACTCATGGGCACAAGTCAACAAGAAAGCTTGTAACAGCAAAAATAGCTCAGCTTTTCAGCCTCTTGGGGTAGAAAATCAAGTAAGGAAACGCGGCAGCAAAAAGAATAACAGAGAATAAAAGAATAGGGGAAAAACATCGCCTCATTACTCGGCGATCAGCTGATTGTGTGCGGGTCCTGTAGTGAATATTGCTATCTGTATCGCCTCGACACTCGTCCTACGCGACATCGGTCGAGAGGTGGGCATCCGGGCGATCCGGTAAAGGGGCTCCCACTATAACCTAGCTGTTGAGTGTTTGAACCCGACAGCGTCCATCCTGTCACCCTTGGGGGCCACTAGGTACTCCCAGGGGGAGAACTCAAAAACCATTTTTATCGTGGACTGTGCCTTTGATTTCCTCGGTGATGCTTTTGATACCGCTCAGAAGGCTTTCGTTACCTTTCACCTAGGGTGGGGCTGCTATTTATTCTGTGCCTTATAAGTAACCAATTGGTCTACGTTTCCTAACGCGTGCACCACAAGCTCATTACCCTTACCTATGACTTGTTAGAGAACCAATATAAGCAGTATCGATTGAGTTCCCACTCCACAACTGTTTCCTAACTGCGACTTTATGGAACCGAGTTATAAATTTGCTAGCAAATTCCGCCCCCTTTTGTGCCGGCCGTGCTCACCATTCTCATTCAGCCTCTCCTTTTTCTCCGACTTCTATCCACCTTTTTCCAGCTTTCCATGGCTTCTCAGAGCTGAATTATGCTGACTTGTAAGAAACGGTGTGAGCTTCGAGACACGCTCCCCCCATTGTGGGCACTCCTCCGCTGGCGTAATTTATGCTGGAGACACCTTCAACAATGCTTCCCCTACATCGACTTTCTCCTGCTCTGTTAGCTTTCTCCAAACCGAGTTATGAATATTTTAATAAAGCATTGCATTTTTGGAAAACGCCCCGCCCATCTTGGGTGACGCTCCCCCCATTGTGGGCACCGCAGGTGGGTCCCTTAGTTCGATCTAACTTACCAATGTACACCTCTAGCCACCTTTACACCCCAGTTTTGAAGCCGTCTTGTGACTGGATTTGAAATCATGGTCCTCAGTACTGCTCACTTCGATGCAAGCACACCCACTGTGGGCGGGGCTCCGCCAAGCTGATGTGTGCTTTATACTCCTCGGGACAACCTACCCATCCCACGCTTGACCCGCTCTATCCAGGCAGATTTAAAGGAGCAAGGGAATTTCATGACAGACATACATAACGATAGAGGACGGACGACAGACGACAGAACGACAGACGAAGCGGTTGACAGTAAGTAGGATGATTACGGTTCGAAGGCATGCAAGCAACCGTGTTCGATAA